CTTGTATTTAAAATTGTGTTCTGTGATAAAGAAATGGTTGTAGCACATAACACAGTTATTTTTCTAATTGATTGAATCTTTTATACTCAAAGTGTGAAATTTTTAATAGATTTTTGTTTGTGGTGCCATTCAAAAGATGGCACCACATTGAATATTATTTCGGTCACATACATTGATACATATATACATGCTACATCCATTATAGTATGAAGATAAAATAATAATCTCAGTGCTTATACAACTACATTTTATTAACTACTAAAAGCAGGTATCACAACCCAGTTTTTAACATTATAAGCCTTCAAGCTTACCACTGTTTCATGAGCGGGGGTGGGGGTACATTTTTTTTTTTTTTTTACACCAGTTCTCATTGACAATACACAGTGATATGGGAGTGACCTTCAGTTTATGTATAGCTAGGTAAAATATAAGCATTTTACCAAATATGATATCACTTATAATTACATACGTAAAAGGCTTGGCTTTTCATACACTAAATAATCCTACACAAACCTTACGAACTCTACGGAGATTTCTTTTTGAAGGCCATTATAAAATCAGCTACTAGCATGTTTAATAACTGACTATTGACTGTTTAGTCACCTGTTGGGTTTACTAAAGGTTAACCAGCTGGTTAACAGTCTACTGTGTGGATAAAATAACTAGATATATCATGGCTTTTAATGCTTTAGATGAGGAGGAATCAAAGATTAATTTTTATTATTTACTAATGCATCTACAATAAGTAACATCTGTTTATACCAACAATGTTGAAACCTAGTTTTTTTTTGCATGGGTGTTGAAATGTGCGTCTAATAAGCCTATAGTGATAGTTACTTCTTGATGATCTATAGGCCAAATTAATCAAAAGTTTCAATAAAGTTTATTATTCTTCAATGGTTAAACTTTCACACAAAACTAACAATACTACAGTCAAATTATCTTGTAGTTATATGCCATTTGTACTGTAAGACAACCACAGACATGCCAGAAAGTGTATCTAGAAGTGAAAACATTAACATATAGTTTTCTATAACATTTCTAACTAGAGCTGAGCAATTAGTGATACTTTATAACTGATTACAAGACATCCCCATTAACTGACTAGTACAGCTTTCTTCTGACCATGGTAAGCACAAGAAAGAAAAAAACCAAAAGATTTGTCAGTGAGTGCTGCCAACCAGTTGCCTTCCTTCTAGTTAGCCAACAGTTCACAAAAAGCAACAAAAAATAAACAGTTGGTGGCAGATGCTGCCAGAATTTACTTTCCTTTTAGTCAACAGCTTGTCAACACATAAAGAACAACAACAAAAAAAAAAAGAAAGAAAGGTTAGAGGCAAGTACTACCAGCCAGTTGGTTTTCCCCAAGTCGGAAGTTAAATATTAGTGATGAATGTAGATATATTTAGTAGTTTTACCATAACAAAGATTTGGTGAGCAGAGCTCATGCTTAACTTTTTTTTCTAGGGGAGCCAGTCGGGCTCCAAAACATGCATTTTTAGGGGCCAATCCTATAGCTTATTCTAAAATGTACTCTATAGTGGAGATTATCAGAAATATCACCAAATTAAATAATGGATGCTACACAAATTAAAGGAAAACTAAAGATATCAACATACCTCAATCTATTTTGTTGGGAACTCTTATTTCATATATATATATATATATATATATATATATATATATATATAATAAAAAGAAAAAAGAAAAAAAAGAAACAACTAACCTTAATTTTATTTACGTAGATATATAATATT